AAGAGACAAGATTTTGGAACAAGACAGAAGGCACGGAGGAGCACTGACAAAAGTCAGTACCATGGAGGCTGAAAGACGATCGGACCCAAGGCAAAAAGTTTCGCCTTCTTCCTTCCAAACACTTAATGTTAACCATGCAAATAGTTACTTCAAAATAACAAACATACTCTTTATTCACAAGATACTGCTCAAGCATTAAAAAAAAAAAGCTCCTAGGACAGTTCTCTCAACTTAACTTTGGTCTTAAAAAATGTTAGCCTGGCAACGCCAATGTTTAAATCGCCTATCCAAGAAAACTTTGAAAATAATCCAGCATCAGAAAACAAAACCGAGCAACTCCCCCACTAATATCAGCTGATACTTTGGTGGTTGACAATCATGTCACACAAAAAACAAATCAAGCTTTTGTCTTTTTTTTTTTTCTTTTTTTAAAAGCACTGAACAATGCCTTCTTCAGTGGTGCCTGAATCCAAGAGAAGCCATTTTACCCCACTGCTCCTAAAACTGGGTCTGCATTATTACTCCTATGAATAGCAGAAAGAGCCAGTTCTTATTCCCGCAAAGGGAACGCTTTCACACAGCTTTTTGAATAGTACTTACTCAAATATGGTGGTTTGTAAGGCGCTCGTGTATTAGACAGCAGTCCATCCAACTCCTTCCTCTCCAGAGTGTTGTGAAGGGCCTTCTCTTTGCCGAAGGTGGAGAAGGACCTTTCTGCCCCCGGCTGGGCTTCTGGTGTTTCAAACACTTCAGTGTCTGGAACGGAGTCCATACCAGGTACGTGCAGATTGCTGCGGTAATCTGCAGCTTGGCGTCCATCAGATGGAACAAAGGAAGGCATCCAGCACCGATCTGAGTGGCCCAGTGCTTTACATTCCTCCGTGCAATTGGAGAAGAGATCCATGCCTGCAAGCATGAGAGAAAAAGAAACTACAGATATAAGCTTCAGCATCAGGAACAGCTGCTGACAGATAAGAGAGATTATGCCAAGAAGAGAGAGAAGCGGAAAGAGAAATGTCCTAAGAACTTCTTCCACAACTTTCATCTCCTCAACAACAACAAAAACTATCTCATTGTCCAGTCTTCAGAAGTCAAAGACACCATTTAATAAGCGCCTCTAAATGCCAAAACGTCACACCCCCACAAAAATATCACAAGAAGAAGGGTACTGGTGGTTCTGTCTCACAAAACCACTTGCAGAGCTCACTGTTTAGAACCCGCTCACATAAGGTTCAATTCCACTTGCAGGTTGATGTCTGTGGTTCACCAGTTGAAAATACTCGTTTAAGAACATGAAGGAATTGTTTCTACGTGAATGTATCTCTGGCCAAAGAAATGAAATGCCCTGATTGAGGGATCACAGATTTCATTTATGAAAGTGAAATATTAATGAGTCCTATAAAGGAACTATCTGCGCATACCTTAGTAGAGAGATAGAGCCTATCGATACTAAAAGCAGACCTTACAAGGTAGGAATCCAGCTCTCAAGTGATCAGGATGGCTTATTTGATCAATTGTTACATCATTCTTTCTAGAGACAGCTTTCGCTGCTACTGCAGCCGTCCTTACTATCATCAAGTCATCCAAGCAAAGGGACAGAACCCTGTAATAAATGACTGTAATTAGCGGTACAAAGGTAGCCACAGCCCGATGTGACATGGCTGCGGATACTATTGACAACATTGTTAATGCCTCCCCTATATAAGCAAACACTTGTCCCTGCCAACACGGAACTGTTTGCTTACAAATCCTTTAATGCTATTAAGATTTCAAATGACAAGCTATGCTGCTATTGACTACCTTCAGATCAGCCTTCCAAGAGAGTATTTCCAGACCGTGAGTCACTAAGTTGTTGGATTATACTTGTTTTGAGAGGAACGGTGTATGAAATCATAGGCAGAGAGTAAAATAAATACCAGCGTCTCCAAGTTGATGTTCAGCATCGTACAGAAAAGCAGCACAGTAAAGAAATAGCTTTTCCTTGTCTTTATAAAGAGAACTGAGTGTCTTAGGTGTATGTCAAAACTGAACTAAATCTGTTATAAACATTGCACTTACAAGCATTGCATTAGAATTACAAAAAACCAACACTACTTGCCAAAGAAATAGGAAAAAATTTTGAACAACTGTAATAAGATTCATGTAACGTAGCTCATTCACCAGCCAACATTGTGAAGAACTGGATTAGCTTGATCTCTAATATGAGGATTAGTATTAAGAATTCTACCACTGTTTTGAACCACAAATTAACTTATATTAGTAATATTTATGAAATATCTCACACTACGAAAAACAATCCCTTCAGCAAGCAAGAATCTTTCTGAGCTATCAACAAGTGCTGGAGCACTAAAGGCAGTCACTTCGAAAAAATATGAAGGAAGAGAAAAGGCTTTTGATTTCAGATTAATCTCACTTTATAATGACTTTTTAATTTTAAATTAAGCAATCTACAATGCTAGGGCCAGTTTCGATTAGAAACCTTGCATTGATAATTGGCATGCAGAAATCTGAAAATAAATTACTGATCAGCGAACTGTTGAAGAATGCAAATGTGAACTGCAGACAGGATTAAGGGATCAGATGAAGATCATCAGGCAAGGCGCACGAATTGTATAGTCCTAAATTCCGTAGTGGTAGTAGCTATCAAAGGCTGAAAGGAAAGATTTAGATGCAGGCTTCCCAGAAAGAAATTAATACCTAACAATGCCTGTAAAACCAGGTGTATGTGCTGAAATGTCTGCACAAAAATACCTCTTATGCAAGGAAAGACGTATTTTATGAATCTTTTTGCCATTCAGAAGATTTAAGTGACAATTAACACAAAGTGGTTATTCCCATTTTCAGACTTCCTAGCAAAGTTACATGTAAACAGCAAATAACCCTGCTTTCCATAGGAAAATGATTACAGTTACATTTTGCTACCAGTGTATCAGTGACCACATTCAGTCAACATTTCCTGAAAGACAACAGGAGAAAGGAAAACATATGAATAAATATTAAATTAGATTCTTTAGTCAGTGGGGAGGGAGATAGTATAATAACATTGTTTTGAAGACGTATGTTCAAAGAGAGACTATTTTTTTTCCTTCATGGATTTTTATTTCCCCTGGAAAAAATCACCCTCCATTTTACTGTTTTGTTTTCACATCAGCTGCTAAACTGCAAAATGTCTCTACACAAATATTATTTTTTTTACTTCCCTTTTGAATATTGCTTGTCTACTGCAGTGCACTGAGTAGTATTATATAACAGCTTATTATAAAAGAGATGTTATAGCCGCTATAAATCAGGATTTTGAATAAACAAAGTAATGAATGTAGGGGATATAAAATGTAAGCTTGTATGACAAACTTTTCTCCCCTTGAAGATGAGAACTTGTAAAAGAAAAAAAGAATTTATATACATCTGAATTTTAATATACATTGCTGGGACACACAGCTAGAATGTAAATGCTTGCTTAAGATGGGAACAAAATGTTCAGCGAGGCCTGGGGCTGGGTATTGCTCCCACTTGAACCAGTCACAACATTCCCTAAGAGTTTAATGGGGGCAGAACCAAGCCCTTGGTTCTAGTGTTTTGACAGAAAATAAATTCGAATTAGCAGCCTGATTTTGAAATCCCTGGGCACCTATCTGTATTGACACTGACTGTGATATGAACACTGGCTATTCTTCCTCCGCCTTTTTGCTGTGGGTCACGGTATAGAAGTCTCTGTTTCTAATGGAAACCCATCAAAACCGGGGGAGGTGAAGGCCATTGGCTATTTTCCAAGGAAGGAAGGATAGAACATGGCAAACCAAGTAAGAGATTCGGCACAGAACTCCTTCATACACCAAGAATCATGTTCTTGATTTACAACAAAAAGAAATGTTCAGCAGTGAAACACTTCCATCTCATCTCCCTCATAAATCCGGTTCTATATATATATGATCCTTCAGAACTGAACGACCCCTCGTAATTGCAAACCCACATTAAAGAAAAACGCTTTATGTTTTTCATTGAGTTATCACATTAGACCTTGCAAACAGATAAACTGAGATTTTAAAGGTGACTCTGAGTTACGAATTTCAGATGTCCTCTGTGGATGCAAACAGACAGTATAGTGCACTGAAGTGCTGAAAAAAACGATAAGCATTGCACTACTGCAAATACAAATAAAAGCTCATGGGAAAGCCCACTAGTTCCTTCCTATTTGTTCAAGCCTTATTACTAGGTAGGCCTCACACAACCTGAAATTTGGAGATTTTGAAGGAAAACACGCCCCCGCCCCTCCCTTGAAGGAACCCAAAAAGTAGGAAAGGAGTTAAATATTGATATCTGCATCTGAATTTCCTGAACTCAGGTGCTTTGAATCAGATACTTGGTGGTGTTGCATTTCTGAAGCATATTCCCAATTTGCTTCCTTTTCATATTTCAAAAGGGGAAAATCAAAAGTTCTATGTGCATGAATTCTAATTGGTTTGAAAGACAGTTTAGATCAAAGCAAAAATTAAGCCTAAAACCATTTTAAATAATGCATTATTTCTTAATTTAATTAAGGGAGAAGAGCCGTACACCAAGCCTTTAGAGCAATGACTGAACGTGTTCATGTGTATTACCGAGCAAACGATGTAATAAAAAGCAAAAATACAAATTAAATGTTGACAAAGTATTTTTGTAGTATTGTTATTGAGAGGGGTTTTTTTCCCCCCCAATGTGTCATTTTTTCATAACTTTGAATTTTACTCCGAATGAAACAGCATTTTCTGTTCCTTCTGTGGTAGTTTTTCTTAAGAAAGCCGGTTTGATGAGAGATAGGCGCGATGTAGGGAACCTGGCCTCCTTTTCGGAGCTTCAGTACCAGGACAGCTATCCATTTGGTTAGATTATCCTTGAGCAAGATACTCATTTCCCTATGATTCAAGTTTTGTGTAGTAAATAAGGCTAATGATGTTCGAAGTCTTCCTCTGTAGAAGACTTTATCTACCAAAGAACTGGACTTTATGAAACAGAGTTATTATCATTCTTTCCAGCTAAGTAATTGGTGTGGTGCCTTGGATAAAACTGACTTCATCTGCATGAGAACACGCATAAAGCCTCAAACATCTTCAATATTCAGCTCTTCCAAATCTCAACTTCAAAGCCCTATCTGGACCATTGAGATGTGAACACTATTAAGCATGCAGCCGAAGGAAAGAAGAGAAAATAAGAAAAAGAAATCGCCCTCAGCTTGAGTCAAAGCACTTTTCTAAGCCATTTTCATGTTCCCTCTCACTTTATCCGAGGATAGACTCTTAGCCCAAGTGATCTTCAAAACAGGATTTAGCTGTCACTCTGCATAGGCCGAGAAGGAATGCTGGTTTTCTCTGTCCCTTTATCACTAAAATTCTTCTTCCAACTTCTCAAATTCTTCTTCTCATGAACGATGAAATGTCATAGCTCTTCTGCAACAAGGCCTAACAACCCTCTTGGGGTTTACCTTGCCCGCACAGAAAAGGTGAGAGGCAATATTTCACCCTGTGCCTTTGTATTAGCCGCCTATCAATTCCCTTCATAAATCCACTGATGGAAGCCTAGTTTTAGATCTCAGCCGGTCACCGATGGACACTGTCCAGTGGAGATTATCAGAAATAATATATATAGGACAGCTGTATAGTATATACATGACAGGACGTTTCTTTAGCTTCACACCTTGGATATTCCTTCCTGAAGGGCACCTGCAAGACCATGCCCATTCCGTGAAAAAGGTGAAACAAAGGTAATGCTGTAAAGACCTCGGCACGTTCAGCTCCAGAGAGCTGAGTAGCTAGTAAGCAACTGCAGGAATTCAGTTGATGGCATGAGTCCAAATCTTACAGGACAGGTGTCTAATCATACAGTTTAAACATACACACATGCAGGGTATTAATTGGCACCCAAGCCAGCAATTTCACAAGGGAGGCCAAGAATTTAATCAACCATGGGAAATAAGCTCACCTCATGCTTAGAAACTACTCCTACAGAACATGATGGAAATACAGTGTGTTAATAATAGGTAGTAGTGTGGTACCAGTTGCATTTGTTGCACAACAAATGGCAGCTTTTGTCTCAACGATTTTCAGGCAGAAGAGAGCACAAGTAATCCAAACTCGCACTCGGGGTTTGAGAAACCCCTCCTCTGTCCGCCAGAAACTTCTTGTGCTTCTTCACCTTTGGGAAGTCGTTCTCCAAAAAGCTCAGGTTCCCACCGCAGCCAATGAAACGACTACTCAGTCTAGAACTCGAATCTGAGTTCAAAACCGTAATAAAACATTTGATGGCACATAGAATGGCTTTGTTCGGAATTTTCACTAAATAATAGTGCAGGATAAATTTATGACACGGTGACAGATTTTCACCCCGCACGTTCTCCTTCCCCATTAATAACTGGCCATGACTTCTGACAGTCAGCTTGGCTAGCAACGCGCTGCCATAGAATAGCCACTTGTGTGCCACGGGGCTCTTCACTGGTGACAGGAACAGAAGTCCTGTGCAGAACAGTAAAAAGATGTTTTCTGAGCAGAACACGCTGCTGACTAAAACCGGTGGGGAGTGAGTTTTAGTTGTCAATGTGAATCATCACCTAAGCGTTTCTGGATGCAAATACAATGCTTTTTAAAAACAAATACGATGCTGCTGCACGGTGTGAGGTAACATCTTGGAAAAAACAGCCCAAACTTCTGCCATGTCCTCAACCAGTGTGTTTTCCTTCAATAATTTAGAAAGAATTGATTATAGAGCACCAGAATGACTGAAAAACTGAGAAGGCATTCCCTCAGGTATATCCTCTAGCCATTCAAGATCAATCAAGATTTATGCTCCTTTTTTTTTTTTTTTTTCCCATAAAATTCACCATCAAAAGCTAATAGCAAGAGGGAAGTTTTTACATAAAAATATCTTGTCATCAATGAGGTCGAGGGGCATGTTCTTTGCATCACGACAGCAAGATTCAGACCAAAATTTACAGGAAAATTGTATTACACGTATGTAGAAGATTAAAGCAGTTTCTACAGAGACTTGTATTCAAATCTCTACTCGGAACTAGCATTTAAAAAACGAGGCATGCAAATTTATTCTCAAATCACAGCACCAATATATTAAATTGGAAGTTCTGTGTATTTGAGGTTTCAGTTCAAACTGTTAATCGTGAGCAGACCAAACCTAGCTGTCAGCTTTCATTAATTCACGTGTAATCCCCCTTGAAGACATGGAAGTTCATAAATCACGTCGGATTCTTGAATGATTTGAAATTATTTTGAAAGTACAGATTTTTTTTTCCCTCTAGTTTGGTAAAACAGAAATGATGAAAATGAAGAATTTACCCAGCTAACAACTAATGCCGTGTTTGACAGTAGTTCCAGTGTTCGTATCTGAGATAGACTACTTTTAAAATGGAGAGAAAGAATAAAGAGCAGAGGCACAACAATACCAGCACTGAATGCATCTAAAAGAAAATAGCTTTCAGTTGATGTGCAACTCTATGATTATATTCCCACCATCAGTCAACCCAGCCCTTTTCTGCAGATGTTTGTTCTTTCCCCCCCCTGTTTGGTTATTATGGTTCATTATGTTGAGGGACTAAGCTGATTGAAATGTTCATTGAGATGACTGCTGCAGTAAAATGCGCAGAAGGGGGGAAAAAAAAAAAAAAAAAAAAAAAAAAAAGGAATGCAGGGAGGGCAGGAGGAGAGGGAGCTTTTTATAACTCAGTAGCACTGATTGCTGCATCAGAAACAGTGCGAAAGAAAGGGGGGTGTGGGGGGGGGAGGCTAAATACACGGCTTTTTAAAACAACAATAAATCATACGCCATATATAGGCCAAAAATGAAAGAGGCTCTGTGTTCAGATGTAAACTTCTGGCAAGACCTGGTGTGTTGTCAGGTTCCCAGACACAAAATAGACACTCTGTTCACTTCGCATGAAGCCCCGCAAGAAGCAGGGAGCTCCGGGAGACTCTTGGCTCTTCTCGAGTCTCATTAGGTCTGCATGTTAATGACTTGCAGCAATATAAAGGGGCCCTGTGGCAGCCTCCTCTTCCCCTGGTGCCCGCGTTTCCCACCGTTCAGGGCACAGGGAGCAGAAAATAGAGGACGTTCAGGGAGCGCGCGGGCGAGGCAGCCCTGAGTCCCTTGCCCTGGTATCTTCTAAGGCAGGGGGGGGAAAAAAAAAAAAAAAAGGGATGACTGGGGAGATTCTGGCAGTATTTTGTACGAGGCACTTGTAGCAAATCCTTATACACGGTAGAGCACAGAGGAAACAAGGGGAAAGAAATCACTGTGTTGAATCAGAACATACCAGACCTTTTGAGACTGTGGTAGGGAAGAAAAGCACACAAGCCTTTGTGGCTAAAACGCAGTGCGAGGGGGAGAATGAATTCTAATGCACAGGCCCGAAAACAAACGTCCCTTTGAGGAGAAAACTGACAGTATGAGAGCAAAGACAGCAAGCGCACGCATGGGAGTAACTCTGCAAGGTATGTATTTTCATAGCCCTTCAAAGCATTTCTTTCCTTTGTCAGGACTGAAAGAAATATATCGAAGAACACCTGAGTCTTATTAACACGTAGATCACTTAGACTACACGGTGCCTCAATTTGAATTAAAAAACCCCCAAAACAATCCTCAAAAACCACTAAGGTATTACACATTCAGAGCACCAATGTGTCTCCACTGATCCCCAGCAAAAACCCTCACAGTCTGGCTGTCATTCCATCACTGGGCTCATTCTCTCCCTTGGGAACTCCCCCTGCACTCTGCACTGCCATGCCAGCTGAAGTACCTACTAAACAAAAATTGCCCGATCCTCTGAAATTCTGCAAATCTGCCATTGGAAAAAAAAAAAAGCACCGTAAAACGTACCAGCAACTTTGCTTTAATGTGCAGCAAGTTTTGCTACAGCAAATGATGAAGAATAACATGCCCACCCCCACCCCCCCCAAACAAATAAAATAAACTCTGCCCCACGAACGAAAAGGGTTCCAAATTGTCTCCTTGCCCAGGTAACTGTAGTAGCAAGCTGACTCAAACGCAGCCTCCCAGACAACATGCTCACATTATTTATGCCACTCTTGCATTATATTCCTTTAAGTATCTGTCCTTTCTAGTCTCTCTACTGAAAGATCTACTATTTCCATTCTCTTATCAGACTTACCAGAGGATTGACCTCGATTAGTGGCATCATGATCACTGTCTCCTTGCTCACTGTCTCCATGACCACTGTCCTTAGAGCTTACTATGTCTGCTTCCTGGAATGCAGAACTAGACACACAGAAACATCTTTACATTAGAATAAACATGAAAGAAGAACTCGTAAAACATTCTTCTGCCATCACATGGCCAAACACGGCGCTGCATTCACCCACTCCTGCCTGCTGCACTGCTGCTGCAGAGGTGCTCTGGCCACCATAAGCAAAAATGGCATTTTCAGCCCTTGGTAGGCTGGCTGGAACGGACAGCAAGCGTTATTGCTCCGCGTGGCTTTCGTGTAATTGGTAAAAATACCTTGGCAGCGTTTACCGAAAGCTAGATAGCTCAATTTTAACCCAGAGAGACCAACGCTTTCCAGAAGACCCTACAGAAGCATTCGTAAGTATTTAAAGCCCGTTTTAGACACTAACACAAAATGAGATTTTGCTCTCTTTTCAGTTGGTTTTGAAAGCAGTTCAGAAGAGCCGTAATTCAAACTCGTTTAGCCAACAGAGTTTTATTTAATACATCTACATACGCTCACTCTCCCATTGCTTTACTACTATCTTACCTCTGCAGCAAACCCATCTCTGCACCCCATTCAGACTTGCTAAAGCATGCATTGGCAAAGCGAGGCTAAGGAGCTCATACCTGTTTACTCGTCGGGGTCTGTCAACTAGATAACTGAGCTCAGCACGCTGGTGTTTTGTCTAGGAAAGAGAAAATATAGGGAAATCTTTAATTCTTGATATTTCTGTAACCAGCGACAGAAAACACACCAGAACACCTCACCGTATTCACTATAAACGGTAATGTTTAGTTGCAAGGAGGCCTACACAATCTGTTTCTAGGATGGAAGGGAAAAAAACCCCAGCGCTTACTCTTCTTTGCACAGATGGGAAGGCAGGAGGGATTTTTTTTTTCCCTGAGTTTTTTGGGATGAGCTTCTGACACGTTTTCTCACAGTGCGTGCTGCCGAGCATCACAAGGACTCGCACAAGAATCAACAGAACTATTTCTAGAGTTGTGTACTACTTAGTCTGAGGGAAAACTTACTGAAATCTAGTTTTCAGCCTGTTTTTAATTCCAGTACATAAAAATAGGGGGAGACAGTACAGCTACTGCACCCTAAGGAGGAAAATACATCGAGATACCCTCGAGTCCTTTAAAAAGGCAACAGAAGACAGAGCTCTACAGACATTTTGAGGAAAGGCCAATCTCACAAGCCCATAGTAGAAATTTTACTGCAAAACTTGAGCTTTAGAAAATATTCCAACTGCCTTTTGCCAGACTGGCCAGTATTTAAGTTTCAGCCTTCACGTTAAGAGAGAGCGTGTGGTTTTCATTAGTGCACGGGCAGAGAGGTACTGAGAGCATGTATGAGCTAACCCAGCAGAAAACGATTAACGGGGGAGTACGATGCTTTGACAGAAATTCTCTGCACACTAGATACCGCAATACAGACAACAGGCTTAACAGGAGGGGGTGTGAAGTCTCTGCGTGTAATTTCATGGAAACTCTTTCTTGATGCTTCCCTTTGCGAACCCAGCTTTGGGTTACAAAGAGCCGCTCAGGCAGAGCAAAGCGAAGTCAATTAATAAACCCTAATTCACAAATTAATTAAAGCTCCTGCTAACTGTAGGGATTGTCACAGTCCCAGAGGGGGGTTCCCCCAAAGCCCTCCTTGCGCATGTAAAGATTTCAGGAAGGGAAAAAAAAAAAGAAAAGAAAAGAAAAGA